AGACTTTTTTGTGTTCATGCTCATGGGCCATATTTTATCTTATGCGTGGTACCCTGTCTCTTCGATAAGTGTTGTTAAATACACCACAGCCGGGCCCAGGCTACGCTGGACAACGTCTTCATTGCGTACGCGTACGACGTCCAGGGTTTGGACTTCTGCTGCCGTGGCGAAACAAATTACAACAATGTTTTCATATTTTTACCTGACGGAGGAAGCTGAAAGTGGGTTTTTTTTGCTTTCATTACACAGATAGCAAAACTGACGAGGCGAGTCGGAATGGAGTGGATATCAATATCATTGCTGTTAATCTGTAAGCAGTCACACATTCATATCTTTTTGCGGACTTAAGATGTGATCGGGATGCATGGATTGTAAATGTAAAGTTTTTAATTTCAATTTCATGATCAAATTACAGGTAAACTGATTGCTAAAGTCCTTAACCCTGAAAGGGCAAGTTTATTTTGACCATCTCTCAGCCGGGGGGAGGGGGGCGGATTCCCCCAAGATTTCGGCCATCGAGCGACGAATTATTTTGAAACTCTATACATGTATACAGCAACTCATCATAACATATATCCAAGACATTTCATGACTAAGGGAATGCTCCGGAGGTTTCTATCACTCTGTTTAAGACCGCTTAGAGTCTGGGTGCTGATAATTACTCGATCCGGAGGCGATGGTAATTATGGTAATTATGACCTCTGCCCTGTTTACAATTCAGGTCATGACATCTGGGGTCTTGTGTTCTATCGCGCATTCACGCCGCATGATCCGGTATTCGATGCCGTAAAAAAATCGTTAAATTGACACAAAATGTCGGTTGCAGAACACGATTCTGGTGAAAATACACAACTGTTGACTTTGCTCAACGATATTCAGAAGAGATTATCGGCACTAGAAACGAGGATTGCTCCGAATTTTGGAGGAAACGTCAGCCGTTACAAAGGACAGTGTGGTCGAAACGACACAACACGACAAGCCCGATTGCGCCTGTGATAATCAGGCAGACACACCAGCCACTGACACCGGTGCGGCCGCCATCAGTAAAGAGGATATCCAAAAGGAATTCAGTGCAGTTAAGGATACCGTCTCACGAGTACATCTGGACTCTTCCCTAAGGCTGTGTTGAAAGCCAACTTGGACTACAATCATCGTGAGTACGAGGCAGCCATTGTGGCATCACAATTCGACGAGGATACCCCCAAGTTGTTTCGCAGCTTTCAGAAAAACAATGCTTGCTTCTCTGATCGAGGGGTGAACCAGCTAAAATTAGCAGCAGAACTTGCCGCAGGTTCAAGAAAACCAGCATCAGGGGCACGTTCAAATACTAGGTCATATGCCTCCAGAGGTAGGGGTTATTCTTATAGAAATTATGGTAGAGGCGTAGGTGGTCGTGGTCAAGGTAGAACGGATGTGTTTCATGGCTTAGCAGCCAACTATCCTCCCAACCAACCTCAATATGGAGGAAAATAGTTCTGAATCATGCCACTCTCTAACTATTCCAAGTGGCAAGAAATAGGTGCGTCGCCTACTGTTATTAGTTGGCTTCAATGCGGTGTTACACTACCGTTTACCACTGACCCACCGGTGATTGAATTACCTAACAGAAATTTTGCAAGTGATCAAATAACATTTTTGAATAGTGAGATTAAGAACTTGCTTCAGAAAGGTATTATTGCCAGATGTGCCTTTAAACCTAGAGTTGTCTCCCCACTTAATGTGGTACCGAAGAAGGGCAAAAATAAGTGGAGACTTATTATTGATTTACGTGTTGTGAATTCTTATATTGATGCTCCCAAGTTTTCTAACGAGAAAATTGACGTTGTTTATTCATTAGTGAAGAGTGAGGACCAGTTAATTACGATTGATCTCAAGGATGGGTTTTATCATGTGCCTGTTTGTGAATCTCATCAAACCTTCCTAGGGTTTAAATGGAATCATAATTATTATTGCTGGACCAGACTTCCATTTGGGTTAAATGCCTCACCTTACTTCTTTGCAAAAGTTTGCGACCGGTTCTTAAATATGTCAGGGTATGTGGTTTACGTGCAGCCCTGTTTGTTGATGACTGGTTACTTGCGGCATCCCCAAGTAATATTGCTGCCCAATCAGACTTCCTAATTGCCACTCTTAAGGATCTTGGGTGGACAATTAATTACGACAAATCCTCATTGCTACCTGAACAAACAAAAGTGTGGATTGGGTATAATATCTCAACCTGCCCGGGCACTGTGCCAACAATATGCATTCCTCAAGAGAAAACGCGAAAACTCCGGCGCGACATTTAGAGGTCGCTACGAAAACCAACCATACAAGCAAGGGCCCTTGCACGCATAGCCGGACAGTGTGTGTCTATGGCACATGTGATCTTACCCACAAAACTGTTGCTTCGCAATGTGTACAGGGTCATTGCAACCAAGACTTCTTGGCACGACAGTCTGAAACTTACGCCGGCAGCGATAAAGGACCTACAATGGTGGCGCGAGGCCCTGGAACTCCAAATGTTTACCGATGCATCGTCCACAGGTTGGGGAGCATGGATCCTCGAACAAAAAGCAGCAGGTTTTTGGAACGAAAGGTTGAGCAACATGCCCTCCAATTATCGCGAAATGTGTGCAGTACTTATGGCACTTCATTCGTTCCTCCCCACAGTAAAGGGGAAGTCAATCGAAATTGTGTCCGACAACATCAGCACGGTGGCCTACTTGAACCATCTCGGGGGCCCGGCACAGGACTTGTCAGATATTTCAACAGCGATATGGGCATTAGCTTTTCAACACAATATCGCCATCACCGCACGATATTTAGCAGGCTGGGACAACAGTTTGGCCGATGGCCTCTCCCGACTCAACCCGCGATACGAATGGCGACTTCACACGGGTCTCTTCCAATGGCTGGACAGAAAATGGGGCCCTCACACCATCGATCGCTGTGCAACAATCCTCAACACACAGCTACCCCGCTACAACAGTCGCTTAATTCTTCGATCCAAGATCGGAGGGAGTGGATGCTATGGCTCAGAACAATTGGGGGTCGGAAAACAATTATGTAAACCCACCTTTCCGACTCATCCCAAAAGTGATCGAGCAGTGACACTCAAGCAGCAACACGCAACAGCAACATTGATCACACCATGTTGGCCAGCACAAATCTGGGATCAAACGCTTCAAGAAATGTCAATAGCGCCACCCATATCCCTCCCAAACTCAAAACGAACTGTGTGGTCAGTGGGAGTAAGACCAGAACCACTAAAGGAATGCCCACTGGCAACTTATGGCTTGGCGAGTGTCTGGAACAGTCACTTAAAACTGGTAGTGTTGCGCATGCCTACGTGAGGATTGTGAACGTTCAACCAATAAAATGCGGTACTGGATTTTTAGGAGTCCACATTTTATTGTGACACTGGAAAAGTGTTTAAGACCAGCTAGCCATGTCTTTATCATCCGTTTAAGACCGGCCACGTGACGGGCTCTCGACCAATAGGAATAGCTAAACTGTCTGAGGTGTTTATGAATATAGGTTAAAGGGTTTTGGAATTACCGGTTTGGCTAATAAGTATTCATATAATATGAATGGTAATTGTGCTCTATGTGCACGACGTATATGGGAAGATTCAGTTTTCACGGCGCGTAGCGTTTGATTTTATGTTTTTGGTATCGAAAGATGCGCAAGGCTCGAGGCTAAAAGTCATAACAGCTCGGGTTGCGAAAAAAAATGTCAATGCTATTGCGAAAAAAGTTAAGGGGAAGGCGAATTCCGCCCCCGGCCCTTTTAGGGTTAACTGTTTAGGGGTTGGACGGGAAATTCCAATGTGGTCAAAGATGCATACCCAATTCAGTAAACCACGCTTTGTGGATTGCTTCAATGGCTTTTCCTTAGTAACATTTCGGGCGATTCACAATGCAGAGCGCCACCAATAGTTTGCCACGGGAAGTTCATTTTCCCAGCGCATTGGTGGGAGATGGTCGACAAATTCGCAGCGCAAGACATTTGAAATCGTTCGATTTTCTGGTCAGTAGTTTCGTAAGCGTATGATTCGAGTATAATGTTTGCCCTTCTATTTTCTTTGTATCAATATAGTGATTTTGAGGCGGTAGAACGCTATGCCCCTATCTTTAGCATATTAGCTCAAGTTATCCGGTCTACCACAGCATATCATAAACAAGCTACAGTCGGTTCAGAATGCAGCTGCTCGCCTGATAACTGGAACCAAGAAATACCACCACATCACACCAATACTTCATCAACTTCACTGGCTGCCCGTTTAGTTCAGAATTCAGTTCAAGATCATCTTTCTCACTTTCAAGGCTTCATCAACTGGCTCCAATCTACATCCAAGACCTGATACACCATCGCAATGTGAGGCCTGGTCTGCGGTCCTCCGCTCTCACACTCCATGTACCCATATCCCGCCTTGCCAGCTACGGAGACAGAGCCTTCTCTTATATTGCACCCCGTCTATGGATACCGCTTGACTTCAAAACACAGCATAATCCTTCATCCTTGGCCTTCAAACGACAGCTCAAGACTCATCCCTTCAACCGGGCATTTTGACTCCTGGACTGACTTTCCCTTGCAAAGACCAGCGCCTTTGAATGGCATTTTGTCAGATACTGCGCGCTATATAAGTGCTGTTTATTATTATTAAGTTGTCTACTGACACTCATTTGAATGGGCTATATGTTGTCGACCGTTAACTTGAAAAGTTGACTCTCCATGGCAAACTCTTGGTGGCGCACTGCATTGTGAGTCGCCCAAATTATGTCACTGCATTCAAAAATCATGAGAGCAAATCTGGTGATACTTTGTTTCACATTTGGAAAATAAAATATGATTTGACTTTTATTTACTTTAAAAATACAGTATAAAATACACAGCGATGTCAAACTGCATTTGCCTTTAGCCAAAAAAAGAGAGTAAAACTCGATGAAACTTTTTGCACAATACATTTCTTAGACGATGTAAAGTAAAGTCGGGTATCATTTCTTGTTCATTACTAGTTTCAGGCGGATTCGTCCAAGCAATCACTGGTGGAACCTTGTTCTTGGAACGAGGCCACCGTGAAATCGTGCCCTGTCCTCTCGTCACATCTCGCCAAATCCCGCCAGGTGACGTCGTCGCCATGTACTGGTACTATGACTCAATCAGCATGACATCCCTGCTCATCTCGTACTTCTTCGGAAGGGTGGCCCCCCAAAACGGGATCCCAGAGGGCGTCTATGATATCGACGATGAGTTCAGTCTCGTCATTGAGAACGTCACCGCCTTCAATGAGGGAACCTACTACTTTAAAGTGAAACCGCATTTGAAAATGATAGAAGAGGGACAGGTTGAAATTCGTGAGAAAGGTGAGTCCATGTCGTGATTTTTATCCCGTTTTAGTTCAAAATTAACTAAAACAAAAGAAAAAATGTGTAAAGTGGGGAAATATTAACATTAGTTTCTACTCAAATTTCGAATGTCTAGTATAAGTTTTCATGACAAAATGTCATAGAGCTGACAACAAATATTGTTTATCATTATGTGGTAACCAAAAATTAGTTGAGAACCAGTCACAAAACATTGGCATGATTTTTATTGGCTGGTAACCTTTTTTTTGCTAAGCATACCTCTTCTGTGTTTAGAAAATATCTTTGCCTGCAGCTCCATGACATTTGCACCAGGTCGATAACAATAATGACGTCTGGTTCACGCACTTTAATGTTCTGTCTGGAATCTCGAGCACGTTTCCCTTTTATGGACTTTAACCGCCGGTCCCTCTGTTTTATTGGCAACCACCAACAGTCTCCCCTGTCCGGCCATATCCTACCGTCATCGGCTGCAATCAAGACCACGATGCAGACACGTGCGAGTTGAGAGTACGACACGACAGCGCGGTGTACAACCTTACCTGCGTCATGGAGCAGGTCAAACCTGCCGTGGAATTGAGGTGGATTCGTGCGCGTCCAGACGGATACACGGAGCTGGAGCTGGATGCTAACAATACGGTCAGGCCTGTTACTCTATCGACTCACACGGGTGAGAAATTTACTCTGAAAAAAGTAAACCTTTACTGTTCAAAGAGTCCCCTTTAAACACATCATTAATTTTTTTTAAATGCTAGTGTCCATACTAGTACACCGTAACTTATCTTGGTCCTATTGCAAAAAAGAGAGTCACTGTTGTCAGTAATATAGGAAGAAATATAGTATTGTTGCTGGTTCCAGAGGGCCATCCTTTAATTGACAGACTGACTCACGGGTGACTCACAGACTGACTCACAGGCTGACTCACTTGAGAGCCTGGCATATCGTATAGCTATCGTATAGGATACCCCCACAAAGGCAATAAATGGACCAAATCCTAGATGCATGAAAAAACTTCGTGTAAGAGTGAATGAGTAATTCAGAATCAATTAAATGTAATTATGTGCGCTCTATGACCAGCTTTATTAGATTTGCCTATTCTCGTTTTAACAGAGATCTGTCTGTACTGCATTTGCCCTTCAGGTTCGTCGCTGAGGAACAACACCTATTCAACTTCAGCATCAATCCAAGTTCCTTCGGTAGACGATGATGCAGAATATGCGTGTGAGGCAGTGGGTGTTGCTGTAGGGAACAGTATTCGCACGAGGGTACGTCTTACCAAAACTCACCCCACAACGGCAACTCATGACTCAACGACAGCTCATGACACCAAGGCAACTCATGATAACGTAGGTAGGTTCTATATCCTCTCTTATCACAGAAGAGTGAAACTGGCGACCAGACGATTTAGAGTGGAAATCACTTTAACCTAAGTTTGATTAAACTTGGGGAGAATAAATCCAGTGGAATCTGGAGTTGAAAATTCGATCAGTCCCATTGAATGGATTTCACTTCAGATCGTCTTGTTTCCAGTTGTTCCAGTCCGGTGGAATCCATTCCAATTGAAAGAGGAAAAAAGAAGGCGAAAGAAGTGAGATTGTTTGCGTCAGTCGAATCATGAGTCTTTTATTTCTCTTAAAAGGCAAAACTGGGGCTGTGGATGACGAATTATTAACGAGTGACAACGATCAAATCCAGACAAGTGGCTACATGAATGTGCCATTGGTGATGTCTTCAGTCTCACTCCTAGGTATTCTTCTCATCATGTTGGTAAGTATTCAGTTGTTCCGTGCCCATTTGTGTGGGCTTGGCAAGAACATCCAAAACTTAACAAAAAGCAGATATTAGAATAAAAGACTACAGATTAAAGTATTCACTTCAGGTTGTATTAAAATAAATGGTAATCCAAAAATAACGGGCTAATGTGTTATGAACTTGAACGCTGTCAAAGTGGCTTCATCTTAATAATAATAATAATAATAATAATACCAAGCATTTTTATGGCGCTCTACAACGATCACAGCGCCTCACAACAAAGAGCTTAAACAGTTACTGAAAATTACAAAGAAATCATATCCAAACAAAAAACAAAACAAAAAACAACTATTATACATTGGGAAATAAGTGTGTTTTGAGTAGGCGCTTGAAGATCGCTGTACACGCAGCTTCCCTGATGTCAACTGGTAGTTGATTCCACAATTTAGGGGCAACAACAGAGAATGAATTGTCACCCGCCTTCTTGTTGGAACGAGGAACAACCAGCCGGGTGACATCAGAAGAAGAGCGGAGTCTCCTGCGATCTTCAGATCCATTCAAGTTGTACAGGGTGAGGCTATCAGTGATGTAACTTGGGGATTGACCATGGGAAGATTTATATACGTACAACATAATTTTGAACATGATCCTTTCTTTGACGGGGAGCCAGTGAAGTAAGCGGAGTAAGTGATCTGATGAGCTTTCTCTACCGCATGAAAATACAAGATGCGCAGCTTTGTTTTGAAGACGCTGTACACGTCTAATATCGACTTCCCTGGCACCGTACATCAGTGTGTTGCCATAGTCAATACGAGAAAGGACCAAAGATCTGACAGCACTATGGCATGCATCTTGAGTGAGGAACCGCCGAATCCGCCACAGATTACGAATATGGAAATTAACACTTCTACAAATTGTATTAATGTGATTGGTCATGGTTAGTGCAGAGTCAAGTATGACCCCAAGATTCTTCACAGTGGTAGATGGATTAATGCAGATGTCTCCAAGTTTTAACTGCAGATGTGGTAATGTGTTAACGACCTTTGGGGAAGCAAACACGAAGAATTCGGTTTTGTCTTGATTAAGTTGCAATCTGTTATGAACCATCCAAGTATTGATCCGAGAAATACAAGTGGAAAGCATGGTTAATGCACGATCAAAATCACCGGCAACCTTTGGATCAAATTCTGTATAGAGCTGGGTATCGTCTGCATAAACGTGAAAATTGAGATTGTGTTCTCTGATGATATCACCAACTGGATGGGTGTACATAGTGAAGCATTGTGGGCCTATTACAGAGCCCTGGGGTACTGAAAATCTCAGAACATGCTCAAAAGACTGAACAGTTTTAATGGACACTCTGGTTGGACGATCATTGAGGTAGGACATGAACCATGATTTAGTCGCGCCTGTAATACCAAAACGATTCTCAAGTCTGTCAAGAAGTATTCTATGATCAATGGTATCAAATGCAGCTGACATGTCAAGTAAAACCAGGAGAACAACCTTGTTTTTGTCAAGGAATTGCAGGATGTCATTTTCACCTTGAGCAAGGCAGTCTCAGTACTGTGGTGGGTTTTATATGCTGATTGGAACTTCTCACCAAGATTGTTGTTGTTGACATGATTTGTAACTTGACACGACGCAGCCTATTCAATTATTTTTCCAATGAACTTGATGTTTGAGACAGGTCGATAACTCTTAAGGGCATTATGATCAAGAGTGGGCTTCTTAAGAACAGGTGTGATGATGGACCGTTTGAATGTTTCAGGGAAAACACCAGATGCAAGTGAGGCGTTAACAATTCTTGTTATGATTGGTAACAAACTAGGCAAGCATTTTTTTTACAAGCCAAGATGGTAACGTGTCTAGTGAACAGGACTTGCTTGGGAATTGCCTAATGAGTTTCTCAATTTCGGGTTTGTTGAGCATCTTAAAATTGGGCAGATTAATGCAAGGATCTAGCTGAGACTCACACACAACGGTATCAGAACATAGTGAAGTTTCAGGTACAGCCTTTGACCTAATTTGCTCAACTTTATCAATGAAGAAGGACATAAAACTATCTGCAAGTTCAGTTTCAGAGTCACAAACTGGCAATGTCTTTGGACAGGTGTTCAGAAGACCCCGTATTGTGGTGTACGTGCCCTTGGAACTGGCATTGCAGAATTTGTCAGAGTAGTATTATTTCTTGGCCAGCTGTACATTATCCTTCTGAGTTAGAAACGCGTCATAGTCTGTGTCCAAACGACTTTTGCGCCATTTGCGCTCAAGCCGTCTACGGATTCGTCTTTCTTCATGGATGTTGTTGTCGTACCACGGTAGCCTGGACTTGACTGTGCGAACTCTGGTTGTGACAGGGCAGATCTCATCAAGCACAGATGTTGTGATGGACTCGTATGTTTCAGACAGAAGATTGGGATCATCTTTAGTCTGCACAGTATCTTTGAGGCGCTCATCAAGAAGATTCTGGAACAACTCTAAGTTGATCTGTTCATATTCACGAGACGTTTTTGTTACTTTCATGGGAGGTGGTTTCTCATACCTTAAGATGCACTTGATAATGTGGTGGTCAGAGTACAGAACTGGATTTGTGTGCCATTCTTGAACTATGTCGTCATCGAAGCGAGAGATCAATAAATCAAGAGTATGGCCATGTTTGTGAGTGGGACCAGTAATGTGTTGGTGAAAACCATAGGCAGAGAGAGTCAAGAAAAATTGCTTTGCATCCCATTTATCCGGATTATCAACATGCAAATTGAAGTCTCCCAATAGCACTAACTGACATGGGAGGATGGAAAGTTCATCAAGGAATTTCTCAAACTCTACCAAGAAGTCTGAAGTCTTGAAGCCATTGGCAGGGGATGGTGGAGGGCGATAGATGACTAAAAACTGAATGGAGTTTTTCTTGTTTGTAATGCAAGTGTGTTCAAAGTTCAGGGTTTCAAGGCTGGTACGAGTAATGAGCAGATTGAGTGGCTTTTTGAAAAGAACACCAATGCCGCCACCACATTTTGATTTTCCACGGGGCACGCTAAGGAAATCATAGTCTGGAGGAGTACATTCCCCAATAATGACTGTGTCGTTGTCAGCAAGCCAAGTTTCAGTTAGCAACATGATGTCAACATCGTTCTCTAAGATATAATCAACTAGTATATCAGTCTTATTGCGCAGTGAGCTGGCATTCCAGGTATGAACATTCAGATTGGTATGGGGTTTGGCTCTTGTCAGTGGAATGAGGTTCGGAGGATTTCTCCTGGGGTGTGTCTTACTGTCAATCCTTGTATTTTGACATTTCTGTTGTTGAGTTAGTGGGGCCGAACCAACAAGATATCTGAGGTTGCGGTGATCGATAGTTATGGGCCTACTTACTCCACCTCGCTTTCCACGACGACGCCATCGCTTTCGTCTTCCGATCTTAGTAGACATCTGACCTTGACAATGATGAGTCTGGCATGGCTGTCGCAGAAGGTTGAGGGAGTCTAGAGTCTTGCAGCTTTCAGCCGACAGAGGACATTTTGAGAAGTTGGTTCTCAATCCGTGCAAAAAGGTGGCTGCATATTGAATACGTGGCAAAACCGATGTCGATGACGGATGCATAGTCTTGTTGGGGAGATTATCATGCCTCGTGATTGTGAAGCACTGGACCGGCTGATTCACAATGGGGAGATACGTACCTCTCAATAGGATGACAGATGTCAAGACAAAAGGATGAGCTGACAATAGAGAACTGGTGTCTCTGGCTGATGTGTATGTAGGTATACTCGAGTATTGGTACAAACAGGATACCAAAATCAACCCTAAAATTCCTCCAACTGGTAGCTGGTAGTCGAATCCAGATGACCTCATAGTGCTCTATGGATCTAATCGGGCACGTTTGTAGAAACTGACCGGCAAAAATACCAACATTGAGGAAAAATATGGAGATTTTTCTAGAGAGTGGTGGTGAAAGCTGCCACACGGCGCTGCACACACTTAAACACCTCGATAGGTCATTAGCTTTTCATTGATATCGTATTACATCTCTTCCGTCAAGGATGAAAGAACACCATTAATTTCAAAACAAAAGGCCAAAAAACCTCTGTTTCCAAGTCTGCTGAATGAGTGGTGAGTTAAAGCTCACAGTGGACAGTGTGTTGAAAGATGGGATCGGGAAAGCGATTCTCTGTGGGGGGACCAGCAGCTTGGGAAATTCGTCAAGGGGGAGGGCTGGACTTTCATGGAAGGGATACTAAATGGTGATTAATCAAATATTAATCGAATTATACAGTATTGTTATAAATACCCTCAATATTGAGTCAGTGAAGGTTTGTTCCCATTGAGAATGACGTTAAAACTGCTGGCGAGGACCTGACGGGGTTTGTGGTATATATAGTCGCATGTTTTTTTATGCTTAAAAGGAAGGGTTTTTTTCTGTGAGATATTCATTTTCCATTTTTCAAACCTCAACCTCTTGCCTTTGGGCGATCCACTGCTTATCCTATTTGTTTCGAATGAGTTTTTATAATGTTTGTCATTTATGCAGTTCCATCTAAAGAAGAAACTCAATAGACGCAATCGTGCATGGGAGATGGAGTCTGGCATGCCATTGAGAACTACTGCTAATACGGAACATCACTTGAATTAATTCTTTGTAGTATAAATTGTATTCCAATATTGCCATCTAGGGAACCAGACCGTGTGCTCTTATGGAACCAGCGGCAGCGATCCAAGTGAATATGTGTAGAAAGAAAATTGTGACCTCAGGAACGAATGGAAAGTATGATCTTATAAATACTGCAATATTTAATGTGCATTGTACACAATACAAATAGGGGGAAAAGAGTGAAAAATATCATTCTGATCATCACAATCTGCGAAACGGGAGTCTTGTTGACATAGTATAATTCCTCAACACTTTGAACATTTTATAATTGTAGTTGTAAACAAAAAAACGTGTTGAAAAGTAATTATTATTATTAGATAATAATAACTCAAAGCAATGACGATTTTGTCTAATTAAAATTAGGTGGGCGATATTGTTTTTCCAAACAATTTCTTTTTAAAATAAGCTGGATTCGTTAGTGACTGATTAATACCGGGGTGAGATGTTCCAGTCGGACGGTGCACGTGACTGCAGAAACCTTTAAGGGGGCATGGGGGTTTTACTTTAAACATAATTATAGCGGGTGACAGAGCGAAAATTAAATTAACCCTGGATAATCAACAAAAGATTGGAAATTGTCCGAAAATGGCTACAACGAAAATAACGTCGGGATTAAATTACGATGGTGTGGATCACCGGATGTGTACATTGCTGGTAGAGTCATTAGTGACGACTAATATTTTTACATTTGCAAATAAGTTAAGGGATTTCTGTGATGAAATGCAAAGGAAGTTATCGTGTGAACATACTTTGTTAATGTCCCATTCATCGTGTTTTCGTATGTAGAATTATAGTTTTATCCGTTCCATTTTGGTAAAGGTTTAGTGACTGAATTGAAAAAAAGGCTCGGTAATATTTGCTAATATTTTTTCTAAACGGAATAAATAAATTCCTGCACAGTGCTTTTTTAAAAGAATCCTATTCACTTCTAAATTTCGCATATTTTTTCGCATACAATTTTCCTACCTCCGTGATTTATTTCAGATTTATTTATTTTTTTTTGAAATGGTATAATCATAATTTTGTTCTCTTTTGTATTACGAGACATTGCTTTATTTCTTATACGGATTTATCCATTGTTACACTTATAATCGGCTGGGATTTTGTATATAATCTTTGTACTTTTATATTTGGCTTTTATATATTGATAGATAATACCTCGACAGTCGTGATAAAAAGGAGAAACGAAAGTTTTGTACTGAAATATATTGAGGTTTCCAATAAAATAAATAATAATAATAATAATAATTAACCTTTATATACCCTTATATACGCCGTGTTTCTATGCGCTTTACAAATATATAGTACATAAATATTGGAACTAAGAAAACATGAAATAGAGTAAACAAAAGAAAAGTATCTATGAGTTGAACAAATATGTTTTCAATCTAGTTTTGTAAGTGTTCAGAGTTTGGGAATCACGTATGACGCTTGACAAAATACCTAGTTACTTAATACAAGCTGGATGGTAAAAAAAAGGGATCGGTAAAGCAAACTGTGGCAATTTGTATTTTGTGGAAAGGGACGGCCATTTTCCTGTACAAATGTAAACAGTCTAGTCCAAAGAAGCATTGTAATTATTGACAGATCACTGTCAGTTCACTGGTGACTCAAAAGAGGGCAAATAAACTAGACCATCGGGATGAAACGCTTATCTTGTTTATTTATGCTGCAAGTACTACAAATAAATTATGAAGAACTTGTGGATGAATTTTAATTGTAATACATGGCAGTGGCGGGTCCAGAATTTGGTAAATAAAGGAGTCGTTGAAGTGAGTGCATTTCAGGAGGGGGGGGGGTTCTCAGTGGGTGACACTTTGCAGTTTATACGCATGGAACCAAAGGCCTAAAATGAAGCAATGAATCAAGATTTCCAATATTCCATGGTAACGCTTGATCAGGGAAATAAAAGGAAAGTGGGGTTCTAACTTCTTTCTAAACTGCCGTAAATAACAAACATTGTTCAGATAAAGGATGTTTAGCACCCCTACCTGGCTTTGGGTGGCTATTTCAAGGTCGATCAATAGCAAAGTCTGCCATATCCTCATGCAAAGCATCTTGACAAACGGGCCCGAGCAACCATAGAGTGAGTTTTGCTCTCTGAGTCAATCAACTGACGGTGGAGTAAGGGAAGGGGCTTGGCCACGTCCCTCTCAAGGCCTCCCCCTATGTGGTATCGCCGAAAACGTTTGATTGTCTGAAACAGTTGAGTGGCGTACCTCGGCATCCACCTCCACCTCCACCCCCCCCCCCCACCCCCATGCGCTCTCTCTTTGCGAATTAGCACCTTGTTGCGCAACTGCCAGCTGATAGAGTTGACAGACCAACCGATAATAGAATCAAGACCCGTAAAAAAGGAACAGAAACCAAAGACAACACACCAAACTTTCAATCGGCCCCCAGTTGGGTGGGGGTTAGAAACCCAACATTTTTTCGCAGCAGATTTTTATTTCCATTATTAAGGTCAATTTTCTGCTTCAAGGAGCATCAAATCACCGGAGTTGGGGCCGACGTCCTTTTTCGTTTAGATTTGGGCATTAATCTATAAAACTTCTCAACCATTCTTGAGTTAGAGATGATGTCGAACTGGAGACAAGCCTAAAGTTTGAAAAAGAAACAACATCTTAAATTATCTATTAATCGAAGGCTGGAAAACCCCTGCGTCCAGAAAAGATCGATTCATTGTGCCTTTGTCCAAGAATTATCAATATTATTTTTATTTATCTTGCCACATGCGGATCTTTCTGCTGCTAGGCATAATAAAAGTGTCCCATTGTTATGGGCTTGGCTTGACTTCTTGATGTTGTTCCCATTTATAGCCAGCCCAGGGCGCTAGTGATTATTT